TGCAGTTCCGCTCAAATCTACAAAGTTAGCATAAGCTTATCATTTTGGTTTTAATTTTGGTTTTTGAACAGCAAGAAGGCCGTTATAGGCCCACTGTTCACTACCTAGCATCTAAGTCAGACAAAGTTAGCCTTAAATTGGTGATCATAGTGGAGCATTAAGCAGCTAGAGTGCCAATAATTTCCTTATGAAGTTGGAAGAGACCAAAACATAGCAAAAAATGTTTAATGTTGTTCATTTAGCAGCTAGCTCCAAATGTCCTTGAGGAGTTGCTGAAGGGGATAATCTATTGTACTAAGATACATTCTTCAGGTAGCAGTAAACACAGCTGTACAGTATACAAATGCTAATGTTGCTCTGTAACTGCTTGATATCCAAGCTGTTTGGTAAAAAGTTAGCCATTTCATTTCTGAAGGTGATTATTTACCAGTCCTGTGTTTAGATCATAGGTTTAGATCTTGCCTTCTGCTGCCCCCAAGTGGACAAAAAAAACAACCAATGAATGCTTACATGTACAATTGCTAACGTTATTCATTATCATCAGAAATCCTTCCTTCATCTCACATTAGGGAACTGTACAATGTTGCAAAGGCACAGTGAATATAAAACAAGGAGCCTAACATATTGAATGACAGGACACCAAGTTTAATAAAAATAATCAAATATGTACACAACATTGGAACAAAAAAGAGATGATAGCTTGGTAGCCCTACTAGCATGAAATTACAGGAATATATTAACTGTCTCTTTTATCCATATACTTTTAAATGTGTCTCACTGCATATACATATAATGTGTAGAAAGTTGTACTTGATAGATTTGTTCTGCCCTCCAATCATGACCCATCAGCTAAATAGTCTGAGGGATCTTCCAGAAAGTAATTTCCAAGAGACTCCCCAAGAGTGCCGGCTAGGTTGTGAGAATTGGTAAACACACAAAACTGTAAGAGAATATTTTCATCTGATCTGTTTATAGAGTCTTTTATGGTTCCTTAGAGTCTGTGATACTGCAAACATCTGCTTGTAGTCAGTCAGAGACTTCTCTGTAGGTTGAGGTCACAGGTCAAACGCTTCTCCGATATCCGTGGGGGGGGTTTGAGATCTAGCAGCATCTCTTTGAGACAAGCAGTCTTGCATCGGCTAATTGATTATACGCGGGCTTTCTGGAAGCCCGCCTCTCCTCGTGTTGGTTAGATGTTTTGTGTCTTTTGGTTCAGAGATCGCTGGTGGAGCACTGGGCATGTGTGAAACTTAGATGATCTCCCCGGCCGTATGTAATTAATGTACTGTGATCAATAAACTCTTCAGTGCTTTTGGCTAACAACGGTTCCAGACTCCTTCATTCTACCTCAACATTGCAACAACAGAAGTTTACCTTCACAAAAACGAGTGTAGTCCCAGAGGCCCTGCAGTGCCTAAGAGAATGGGTAAGTGAGTGTGGATAACACTATCAAACAATGAGACAGCGCAGTCGGCCAGTACGGGACTTAAACTCATTACAGCTCGGAAAGGCTGGGCCCACATGTTGGGTTATAGGTGTCTACTTATCGCTGAGAAAATTTCCCTTTCAGTGCTTTCAGCGTTAACTGTAATCCTGTGGTAAAAGCCATTAGGTGCATTCCCTTGAACTGGAAATAGCTTGTATTAGATTGTGATGTTGTTTAGTGCAGCTGTAGAGTTAAATGAAAAACATGATTTACTTTCAGACTACACAGTGCATTTCCAGGCTGCTATTTTTTATTTATCTACCAGATTCATATAACTCTTTAATAACTGATGCAGATGAATGGAAATGGATGAAAGGACATTTTAGAAATACAATCTAAAAAGAAGGATGTTTAAGCCATGAGTCAAAGGGTCTGCAAGTCAATGTTAGAAAGGTGCTCCTATGGTGTTCATACTGTGTGAATGTTTCCCCTTGTCAAACCATTTTCAATTTCCCCAGGTTCATAGATCACCAACAAAGATTTGAAACCAATCTACAGAGTTCCCACCTGTTAAAAATAGGTCATAACCAAACAAACCAAATTAAAGTAAATCTTTTAGTAAAGCAGAAATATATAGGCTTTGACAACTTTCAAAAAACTGATATTCTGTCTATTCTATCTATTGAAATGTATGGGCAAATGTATGTATTATGCTTAGCTCTTTATTTGCTTCTCTCTTTAAGGCAGTGGTCCCCAAACTAAGGCCCCCGGCCGGGTACGGCCCGCCTCCACATTTGGCCCGGCCCCCTGAACAATACCAGAGACGCATTATGATTTTTTTTTTTTTATTCTTTTTTTTTTTTTTTTTTATTTAAAAAAAAAAAATTTAGTCTGGCCACGCGAATCCTAGACTAGCCCCTGTCAAAATGTTGTGACCTGCTCTATCGAAATCAGTCGCATTGACCCGAAGACACCTTTTGAGTTGTATACACTGTTGGAAAGAGGATATTCCTAGCTTTCTAATGATATCAGGATTGTTTTTGTACTTCAAATATTAAGCGAAATATAATATTATATATTATATAATGACTGTCACCGAGTCATCATTTTGAGAAAAAGGCCTTCAAAGTTTCCTCTTCTCTGGAATCCATCGATCTGATTGATTATTAGCGGAGCAAATGATCAAAATACTACCGAGGGAAGATATTTTCGTTTGGAGGGGAAGCTCGCGAGTGTGTGTGTGTGTGTGTGAGTGTGTGTGCTTGTGTAATTTTGCGTTTGTGTGTATTGTGTTTGTTTCCCGGGGAAAACACTCACGAGAAACACCGGCTGTTGTTATGCCTGCCGTTCTCCGCTTGTAATTATGCCGAAGCTTCAAAGTTGTATTTATCATCTGAATTTGCCGAAACAAGTTTAATATTCTGAAAGCCAAGACTTTGTTTAATTGAAATCAGATGAAAACAAACTGTAACGGACCCTGCAGTGTTATCTATGATTACTATACTCTTACATTCATAATTTCAGCGGAGTGAGGGGGGGGCGGTGCTACGGAAGAGCAGATTGCGAGTGACAAATAAATAAATTGGAAATAAAAGTTTCATATTCTGAAAGCCAAGACTTTGTTTGTTTAAAATCAAACAAAACACCCGAACCCCGAAAAAATTGTTTTTTTTAACGTAAATCCACGTTTATTTTTGAGAGATTCTGCTCTGACAACTAAGCTAAACTTTTACCTGTTAAGATTGTGCACGGCACAACAGAAAGTTACAGTAATTTTCAATGGACTTTTTTTCTGTGAAGAACCCAGAGAGGGTTATTTGGTTATTATTTATTTCATAAATAGTGTTATTTATTTCATTAATAGTGTTATTATTTATTTCCTGACTTTTTTTCTGTGAAGATCCCGGAAAGGGTTATTAATATTTGGTTATGTGTGGCTTTCTAGAAAACAATAAATGTTTACGTTTAGACACCCATGCGATCGTCACACTTTTTCTGTTACAAACTGACCCGGCCCCCATCAGAGAAGGGAAAAGTTATGTGGCCCTCACAGGAAAAAGTTTGGGGACCCCTGCTTTAAGGGATTAAGAAAGTATGTCGTCTTCTTCTTCATGGTGCAGTTCTCAAACCCTCCACTAGATGTCAAGGTTCAAGGTTCTTTATTTAGTCATACGAACACAGCTACAGAGTAGTTATGCCGATGAAAATCTTAGGTCACAGGCTTCTCCAACAGTGCAACACAATAACACAGATAAACAGAAAAATATTGTGCAAGTAAATAGTAATATAGTAAATACAAAATAAAAATAGTTTTAAAAAAGTGAAATAGTGCAATAAGAGTCTATATGCAAGTTATTGAAATAATATATATAGGTAAATAGATAAATAATGTTTAAGATGAATATGTTGGATGTTGTTTCAAAGTTCAGGTGTTTAACAGTCTTATTGCCTGTGGGATGAAACTGTCCCTGGGTCTGGTGGTTTTAGTCCGAATGCTGCGGTAGCGCCTGCCAGACGGCAGCAGACTGAACAGTTTGTGGCTGGGGTGATGGAGGTCTTTTATAATCCGGAGGATTTCTTCCTGAGGCGCTGGGAGTAAAGGTCCTCCATGGATGGCAGCTCCGTCCTGGTGATGTGCTGTGCAGTTTTCACCACCCTCTCTAAAGCTTTACGGTTGAGGGCGGTGCAGCTGCCGTACCAGGCCGTGATGCAGCCAGTCAGGATCCTCTCTATGGTGCACCTCAGTAGAAGTGTAGAGTACCCTGGAGTCCATGTTGAACATCCTCAGCCTGCGGAGGAAGAAGAGCCGCTGTTGAGCTTTTTTGGTGATGGTGGTGGTGTGAAGAGTCCATGTCAGGTCCTAAGGGATGTGGACCCAGAGGAACCTGAAGCTGCTGACTCTCTCCACTGTAGTCCCATTGATGGTGATGGGGGCGTGTCCCTCTCTCTGCTACTTCCTGTAATCCACAATCAGCTCCTTGGTTTTGCTGACGTTGAGATGGAGGTTGTTATCCTGGCACCAAGATGTCAGGTTTTCAACCTCCTCTCTGTACGCCGTCTCGTTGCCGTCTGTGATCGTCAGCAAACTTCACGATGGTGTTGGAGCTGTGTGTGGCCACGCAGTCGTGAGTGAACAGGGAGTAGAGGGCTGAGCATGCAGCCTTGAGGGGCTCCGGTGTTAAGGATCAGGATGTGGTGTTTCCCACCCGCACTGCTGGGTCTGGGTCTGCCCGTCAGGAAGTTCAGGATCCAGTCACAGAGGGCGCTGTTGAGCCCGAGGTCTCTGAGCTTGATGACTAGCTTGGAGGGCACAATGGTGTTGAAGGCTGAACTGTAGTCAATGAACAGCATTCTCACGTATGTGTTCCTCTGGTCCAGGTGTGAGAGGGCAGTGGCGTCGTCTGTGGACCTGTTTGCTCTGACCCCCAGGCAAACTGCAGGGGGTCCAGAGAGTCAGGGAGGGAGGAGGTGATGAATGATTTGACTAACCGCTCAAAGCACTTCATAATGATGGAGGTGAGTGCTACTGGGCAGTAGTTAATGAGGCTGGGGATTGTTGTCTTTTTGGGGACAGGAACGATGGTGGAGTGTTTGAAGCATGTGGCGACTACAGACTGCAGCAGGGACCTGTTGAAGATGTCTGTGAACATCTCTACCAGCTGAACTGAACACGGCCAGGGATGCCATCAAGTCCAGGTCACATGACATCCTCTCCCACCCACACACCTGTAACCTCTCTCCTTGTTAGCCCTGCAGTCACATCTCTACTCTCTCAGCTGTTTCCAATGTCCCTAATCCATTCCCAAACACTCCTTGCCAGTGTGAATGTGCTTCTTGCCATTTGCAAACCTTTAACATTGCTTCTGAATTGTGTTACCTGCTTGTTTCTTCTTTAGTCACCTGAACATTGTTGCCTCATGTTGGATTTATTTGCGTTTATTCCCTGTTTGAAACCTTCATGATTCATGTATCTGCCAGTAAGCCTAGTATTTTACTTTGGAAATCTATCTGAAATACTTGGTTCATATAATCTGCACACACCAGCCATGACAATACAAGTTAAATTAAGGTTTATTATTATTTCTTCTGACAAGATATTTTGTAAATACAAGTCTAAATGGAGAGTATTAAATAGAACATTCAGAAAAATGGTCAGTGTTTAGAGTTAGGTACCAGTAAGATATCGTAAGAAATAATGCCCCTCAAGAAACCTCTGCTATGTAAGGCTTACTCAACCATATGAGAGAACTTTTAGATTAGATTAGATTACTTTATTGTCATTACAAAATGCAAGCACAGTGTAATGAAATTAAGGAGGGTCTAACCAGAAAAACAGTCAGTTACAATTATCAGAAGTATGTACAAAATAAATGATACAAAAAAAAGGTAAATAGATGTGAAATGTATAAATAATAATAAATACACAGATAATAACAAATACAGTGAATACAGTACTGTATACAGCAGTGATGTGCAAGGATAATTGCGCTTCAGCACACGACAACACTAGGCAGTATGGGACAGCGTGGGGTTCATTGTCAGCAGTCTGACTGCTGAAGGGAAGAAGCTGCGTAGTCCTGTTGGTTCTGGTTTTGAGGGGAAACTCATCTACTCATCTCAGTCACACCCACGTGACCTGATCCAACATGGGGTTTAACTAACTGATCTGTACTCCTTTTATAGGTTACTGATGCCCCAAATCTGACTGATGATGAGGAAAAGAAAAGCTAGAGAAGGAGGAGGAAGAGGAGTAGAATGCACAACAAAGGTCACTGGAGGATTTTTTTTCTATAAGGTAAGCATGTCATCCGTGCATCACCCTTTGATAATACATTTTGAAATGTCAGCAATGTACCGCGTTCAAGGCCATTCAGCAACGATAATGTTGCATTAGTTATGCACTTTATTTCATTAAATGTTACGACGGTTGTGATAACCGTCAATTTACTTTATCGAGCACATGTGACAGTTTCACCGTACCTCTGCCAGAAACATAAGAGGCAGACGAAGAGAAGTTATGAACTTATTTACTTTTTCGTTTGTAGGTGGAGAGTGTATCTCAAAACCTCAGCAATTAAAAACTACTTCCAAATGTACTGCTGTTTTTGTACAAAAATGCCTTGTTGTGTTAACACCCCTCTAGCTCAACAAAGAATCACTGAGCAACAATGAAGTTAATGTTAGGTTATTTATTTATATAAAAAGACAACGTTTTTACATTCTCTGTATAACTAATGCACTTACAACTCCAAATCACTCTTTGTTTTTTAATAGAGAAAAAGTAAATATGGAAAATATTGTTTTTACATAATTAATAAAACAAACATTTAAATAAGTTCTGTAAATATATGATATAGCATGAAATGAGCCAAGACACTATAACACATTAACATAAGACTGATATTAGTAATGATGATAATAAAGTGTATCATGATTACATAGTAAATCACAGGGTTTTGATTAACATGCACACTGCTGTTAATATTTGATGCAGCTAGTATATATATATTCAAAAGTTTACTAGTCCGAGGAAACAGTTTGCAGGGATTTTATTAAGTAAATCAACCTAGAACTATAACAAGGCTTTTGAAAAGTGAGGGGGACGTGCTCTTTCTCCTCCCTAGTGGAACTCAGGTCCTCATGTCCATATGCTAATAAAACACAGACAATGAACACATGTCAGAGTCAGGGCCTTTGGGTTTAAGCCCATGTAGACAGGCCCATGTATTTAATTCAATATTTCATGTGTGACCATTACCTTTTGAAATAAGAGTAGCGCTGGTGCTCACTAAATGAGGTCCCTGTGGCCATGTGTTTGGAATGAACCCAGTGAACAGGAGAGATAACAGGACTCAGCATTTCCAACTCATATTTTATCAACATTTAATAAGAGGTCTGTCTGACCACCAGACCATCCCATAACTAAAAGGTCATGTAGTTAAACCCCTCATTTCTTCCTGGAAAATATATCCTAATAACACTGGGTAGGAATCGCTAAAGAAAGTATCCTCCATAATGTTCTCGAAAAAACGTTAAAGTTGGTGACATGAGACAAGTTGATTTCTTCCAGATATTCTTACTAAACTCAAATTGTTGTTTTATTTCTATTTGGTGAAAATCATATAAATGCGTCATTACATTTTCCACAAAAAAGACTTTGCCACAACATCTATCATAATCATTTTTGTAATGTTTAAACTGTCTTTTGTAATAACATCATTTTTGCTTTCAAACTATAAAACTATCCTTGCAATTAAACATAATTCAGTCATGTAAGAAAAAAAGTAATTCACAAAAGTGCAAATGAAATGCTGGCCCTAACAAGTATGTTTTGGTAAATGTGCTTTTTTGCTTTTTGCAGTGTGGAATAATTGATTCCACAAATGTAGGTTTGGTAAATACGCATTTATAGGTATGGTAAATATGCATTTGGAGCAGAAGCGTATTAGCATTAAAACTGCTTGCTTGGCCAGATGTAAAAAAAATCTGCCCACAAGCACCTCTAGAATTAACATATGATATGTTGTTAATGGTGGACTTTTACCTTATTTCAACTTCCTTGAATATCCGCTGGTTGCCTGGCATCTTTTCCCAGCTAAGAAAAAAACAAGGAAGCGACTCAAAAACTTTGAATTGATGTTTTTTTAGTGCTGAAAATTGCAGATGCCATTGCTTTATTGACCTGTAGGTATTGAAGACGAGACATGTTCAGGCTTATGCTGCATTTCTTGCCAGTAGGAGCTCAGGAAGTGAATGATTTTGGTTCAATCTGATGCTGAGTGCTATGCATCATCTAATGGCTCTCAATAATGTAACAGTGCCTCTACCTAAAACACACAGTGTGTTAAGAGCTAACGTTTTTATGCTTCAGCTGCTCTTTATAGGAAATCAGCTTAGTACCCGGTTAAATGCTCCTCTATCCATCTTCCCTCAGAATGCCATATATTTCTTACTTCTATTTTTACTTGATTCTCGTTGTCAGGCCCATCCTTTCCCCTCGGTCTCTCACTTTGTCTCTTACTCTTTTACCTCCATTTCTTCTCATTGTCCTTTATTGTTCCATCGCTCTCCTTCTGCCGTAGAGTCAATCTTTTCCTCATGCTGCCTGGTTCTTCCACTTAGCCGCGTTTATGTTTTACCCATTTATTTATCCCAGTGTTTCTCCAGTCTGCGTTTATTCTAGTTCCGCTCCGTATTGATGTTCCTTCTGACAACAGCAGTATTTAGAGCCATTACATATTAGCTCAGTCAGCTCTGCTGCAGAGTAACTTGTTTCCAGCTTGATTTACAAAACACACTAGTCCCACTCAAGCATTCTGCTGTCATGCTGTATATCCTGCATATGATCATGTGTTATTCTGCTGTGGTGTGCTGAAAACAGTCCCATGCTTTGCATTTCTTATTCTAGCAGAGTTATGGCTGTCGTAGGATTTACTGAATACACACATTGATCTGATGCAGAATTTTGAACACGCTGACTATTCCTTTTCAAATCACAGCAAAGATCATTTGTACTCCTATTAAACAAAAGACATTACCATCAGATGTATCTGTGTTTTGTTATTAGAGTTATTTAGCAAACATTAAAACTAAAATGGTGAACACAGTAAAAGGTATACCTGCTAAACATCAGCATTTGTTAGCATTGTGAATAACGTTAGGCCCATTTATTTTGTATTTATTAAACATTTCAACAAGTAGAAACACACACACACACACACATTTTAAATAGAAAGAGAAAAGTTGTTCACACCACTGAAAGCTGATTTGATAATGTTTGTAGGTGGCCCCTTTAGCCTCCATCATTTGTCTTTGCCATTAGTTACTGTGGGAATTAGTCACATTGATGAGCCATAAGACAGAGGGCAGTTTATACACTGCCCCCCCCTCCTCTGAACACAGCTCAGTAACTTATCTCTGTGTTTTAGATGGATGGCTTAAGTTTTTCAAGGTCATGCCTCTGGAAAAGCTCCTCTTTAAAAGCAGAATGACAAAGTGTAATGGATCATTGTGTGTCCTGTTCTGTGTAATCTGTCTCGACTGGTCTTGTACCATCAGATAGCTCCTGTACCCTGCCGTGACCTGGCCTCTGTGCGGTTTATACATCTTTTCGTGTTCATATATATTAACTTTCAGACTACCAACACAACTTTGTTAACATTGGTGCTGTATAGAGCGCAAGACGTCACCCGAGTGCTTCTCAGTTTCTAAAAGTCACAAAAATGGTCAGTTGCAGCACCCTAAATCAAACGTCAAACACTTGGTATGGTTACTGGTGCCTTAAAACTTACCCCTTTATAGTTTCCAATAAATGTGTCACAAGTTTCAGAAATGTTACGTTTTGTGGATGGACAACATCACTTGTTTTGTCACAGAACACATTCTTCTCCACTTAAGTTAACACACTGTAGTCTCCATCCTTTTCACTCAGTCAATCAATAGATATTCTTTAAAGAAGACAGCTGTAGGAAATAGGAGAGTGAGGACTTCTGCATGTAAACATCAAATCTGATCTTTTTGATTTCCCTTGTCTATGTGTCAGGATCAAATTACGTCCAAACCGGCACACAGGCGAGCTGCTTATTTCCACAAATCTTCCAAACTGGCTGTAGAGGCGATCGCTAGTGTTGAATATGTAATGGTAAACAACATCTCCCTCCACACTTTCCACCTTTCAGCCATTATTGTCAAGCAGGTGCCACCATGGAGGATGTTGTGGTGGACGGGGTAGATCTTTCACACAGCAGCAATGTTAGAACTGTTACAGGACTTTTAAGTTGTTGTTGACAATCCAGAAGTCCAAGTTATGAAGCTTTAGTTTTTATGTGTGATGTAACAAAGGTAGAAGGGCCGAACTGGGTGAAATAGTGCCGGTAGAATAATCATGTAGTACTGCATATCTGCTAAAAAATGTGACAATCCACTTGACTGTAGAATTTGAGATGTTTAACACAAACACTCAAAATGTATTCACAAGTTCAGTATTTGTAGTGTTTTTCTAACAATTGTTTACCCTTTTGAAATCTATATCAATATAGACTTTTCCAGGCAGCTATATAATGTCAAAGATGTCAAAACTAACCCACAAATATTGTATATATTTTTCATAGAATAAATCAATAGCAATGTGTTGCATTTATAAAGGAACAAACTGCTTCCATCCATAAGGGTTTTTAGTCTTAATACAAACATCTCATTGGCTCCTAATCTATTTTTCTCTTTTTATGTCTGCAATGTGGATAAAGCCGGATGTGGAAATCCTCAGCGGGTTGATGCATGAGCCCCTAAATAACCTCAATGGTTCCCAGTTTTGAAATTGAATAGGCTTCCTGAATGATTTAATGGCGAGCTTTATGGGAATAATGGAGGCGAGTGCGCTATCACAGTGCGAACAGGTAACAAGCTCAAAACAATAAACACACACGTTGGCAAACATGATGCTTAAACTTTTAAATGGATGCTCACACCGCACATAGGCCATGTGAATAGACCGGCACATGAGAGACGAGTACATTGTGTAAGCACACAGTAAAGCACATCAATCCTATGAACAGTGTTGTGCATTTGAATCTATATTATCTGAGACTGTAAGGCAGCCACGTTCAGTGTGTGGAGGTACGATTATAATGCAGCTCTGCTTATTTCAGCTTTTTCTGTTCTTGTTAGTCAAATATGAGACCTCTTCTTCTCTGCTATTCTATCATTCACACTCTTTTAGCTTTTATTGTTGAAATGAATGAGCTCTCAACCAAAAAGTGATTTGACATTTACAATGATTTTCATTAATGCTTGTCTTTCTCGAAGACCGTTCTCCATGCTGTTTCTCAGCTTTCATTCACACCTTTTAACCGCAAAACTCAGTCAAGTTTCTATTTCTTTTCTTCCTTTTACATATTACTTTTGCTATTCAGAAGCGCCGCTGCTCAACCATATCAACCCTCATTCTTTCCCCTTTTGCACTTTTTGTCTTCAAAAAACCACACTTCTACGCTTTTGTGAAATATTTTATTTTATCCTCATTCTTTGTGTCCACTGAAGGGCACATGAATAGAGCGTGGAGCAGATGTATTTTTGACA